CGGCAGTCGCCGCGAGGCGTATATTGCCCAGAGACCCTGCCTTCTGGTATAGCGTTTCAGTTTCTACTGCTTGTACATTTTGTTTTGCCTACTGCACAGTGGTAACCGGCATTCGAGTAGTGCAGCATGCAGAGCGGCGGCGGTGGCGCCAGATAGGCGGCGACACCTCCCCATTGAACACCTTCCGGCCACCTTTAGTTGCGGTCGGCTCGCCATTCTGCTTGCCGCGGGCAGCAGCCCTCTGCCGTGCCCAGCGAGGAGCTGGGCGAGTGTTCTCCTCCCTGGCCAATATGTGTTGAGCTGTGAGCAACCCCGGCGCAATGGCCAAGTATCGCTTGCGTCCTTTAGAGCCGCTGCCTGAGGACGGAGCTGCTAACTTGCCAGCCCCGGCTTCACAACCCGGCCAAGCAGGCGTGCGGCGCTCCAACCACAGAAGGTGTGCGCAGGGGACCAGGGTTGCACAGTGGGTGCAGCGAGTGGGGGGCGGTGCGCAGGGGGTGGCCGAGGCGGCGCGGACGCTCGCGCGGAGGGGCGGGGCGGGTTGGTAGGGGCGTTGGCTGGGGGCACAGAGTTGGTTGGAGCTGGGGCAAACGGTGCCGGCGGTGCCCCCACGCAGGCAGCCGGGCAGGGGCAGGCCGGCACGAGGTCCAAGGGGGCATGTGCCGCAGCTCGCTGGCGCTGCTCCTTGCTCATGCATCTGCCATCTGCTGTCCCCCTGCTGGGCCCTGCAGACGCACGATGAACGACGCTGGAAAGGCCGCATTGTGGCAGCAGATGTACGTTGAGCTCAAAAAGAGCTCGAAGGCAGACGGGGAACGCAAGGAGCGGGAGCTTGCTATGATGGAGCAGGAGGCTGCTCTCAAGCAGCAGGAGGTCGCGCTCAAGCAGCAGGAGGTTGCGCACCTGCGCGCCGAGGTCCGCTGCCTGCTGGACCAGCTGGCCTCCTCTCGGGCAATGGTGGAGCAGCTGCGCCTGGAGAAGCTCGGCTGTGAGTGGCCCGCTGCAGGCTGGACCAGACAGTCACGTCCTCCTGCAGCAGCATGCGCAGTGCAGGGCGAGCAGCAGATGGAGCCTCAGCAGGCGCCGCCGCTGCGGATTGCCTGCACGCCTGCCCAGCGCCTGCAGCTGCCTCACCAGCCTGCGCGCCATCACTCCCGTTAACGCTTTTCCACTCTTTGGTGCGCTATGCGCTGTGCCATGCCCCCTGCAGCCCCGATGTCGACCAGCTGACCTGGCTGCCTGCGAGAGACCACCGACGGAGTCACCTGCGCAAGTTCATGCGTGCATGCGCCGCTCCTCATGCCCCAGCGTCGCTCAGTTTAAAAGCCATCGCCTGGCACAGTGGAATGGAATGGAATGGAATGTAATTGAGTTTATCAATTCAAATCAGAGTGCATGAAGGAGACTTTCTTCAACGCCCTGCCTTGCCAAGCGGCCTGCCTGCGCCTTCTGTCAAACCTCGGAGGCATGGAGGACGCCCTCGCCAGCTCCCTGGGCCGCCTGGCCAGCCTTGCGTCTGCTCTGGGCAGCAACCCTTCGGATGGGCAGCTCGAGCAGCTGAGCTCAGCCTGCTCGGCAGCCCTGACCAACGCCCAGGGGCAGCCTCCAGGCCCAGCCCAGCAAAGGCAGCTCTGGGAGGCCGCTGCAGGCCTGTGGGTGAGTTTGAGCAGCCGCCAGAGCACGCTGACCACCCTTGGCAACTGCAAACAGGCCGCCTGCCGCCCTGCAGAACTCCAGCATCGATCTTGGGAGCGCGGGCAATGAGAGCGGCGGTGGCGCCGAGGCGGGCGGTGGCACCGGGCGGCGGCGCGTGGCGGCGACGCTTCTGCAGGCCGCCTGCGACCTGTGCACCCCGCTGGCGCCAGACGCCCTTCTGCCGCCCAACCAGCTGCACCTGGTCCGCTTCCACTTCAAGGCGAGCTAGCTGTCACCGGATTGCGCACGTTTGCAGAGCAGGAGAGCCCGAGCGGTGGGCCTGGGCGCTTTCCAGCCTGGCACCTCGCAGCACAGCGCGAGTGCCTGCCCCGCCTCTGTCCTCCCTGCTACTACCCCCCGCAGGCAGGCGAGGCCTGGGCCCGGCTGGGCGAGCTGGAGGCCGCCGAGGCTGTTCTGTCGCGCGGCAGCGAGGCGGCGGCAGCGCTTGCGCCTGTGGCGTTTGAGCGCCGCGGCCGCGGGCCGCGCCACCAGGAGGCCGCCTCCCTCCTCTTCTCCCTGCTGCTGGAGAGGCTGCGCGCGGCGCTGCGCCTCAGCCAGCAGGTGTGGCCGGACGCAGCAGGGCGTAGCCTGCCAGCGGGGCGTGCCACATCTGCGCCCCTCCGCACTGCGGCCGGCGTGAGCTGCCGCGACCGCCGCCTGCGGGCACCAGGCTGCTCCTGCTTGCCCCTGCCAGCCTGTTCCACCCAAATGCTGGCGTGCCGTGCTGCCATCTTGTGCGGCCTGCTGCACTGCTTTACACACGCAGATGCTGAGCGGCGAGCTGATCTCTCGGGCCGCCGAGTTTGTGGGCGATGCCCGCCTGCCACCTGGCGAGGCTCTGGCCCTGCGCCTCGCCCTCATCGGCCTGCTGCGGGAGGAGGGGCAGCGCCTGGCGCAGGTGGGTGGCGGCGGCGGCGCCACATGTGGGCTGCAGGTTGTAGTATCTACGCGGGTGCTGCCAGTGGTGGGAGCAGCCCGCAAGCGTGCTCATAATGGCTCAGGCTGGCCTCTTGCCCACGAGCGCCGCCACCGGTGCCCGCTCGCCTCCCTGCCGCCGTGCCTGCCCGCCCCGCAGGCCGGCTCTGCGGCGGCTGCGGCCCCGCTGCTGTCTGCCGCCTACGATGCGCTGTCTGGCGTGGAGCTGGAGGGGGAGGAGGGGGAGGAAGGGGGCCTGGCGGCAGAGGTGCAGGCCATCGGCGGCCAGGTGATGGGGCGCCTGCATCGTGCTGCCTGCCTGCCAGCTGGCGGCAGCCTCAGCAGGATGCTGGATGCTGGCCGGCAGATGCAGCATGCCGCCTTGACCACAGCCTTGCCAGAGCTTAGCCGTAAGGGTGCCTGGGAGCGGGCGCTGTGTGGCCCTGCCTGGATGCCTCTTGTGCCCCTCAACAAACGCATGCCTGCCGCCGCAGGTGCTGACGCTACTGGCCTGGTGCAGCGCAGAGGCCGGTGAGGCGGAGCGGGCGCTGTCGTGCCTGCAGGCGCTGCAGCAGGTGGCGGGCACGGCGGCCGCCGCCCACTTCTCCTCCTCCTACCTCTCCCTGCGCTGCCTGCTGCAGCTGGGCAGGTGCGCTGCACGTGCCCGCCCGCCTCGCTGCGCCCGCCTCTTGCCACGTGGCCGCCGCCCGCCTCTGTTGTTCTTGACAGCGATGTGCCGATTGCGCCGCCACTGCTCTGCACTGCTCGCAGGACTGGGGAAGCTGAGGCGCAGCTGCTCAACCTGGTATCCCACGAGGAGGCCACCCCGGAGGCCTGCCTGGCGGGGCTCACCGCCGCGCTGGCTGCGCCCGGCGGCGCGGCCCTCGCCAGGTGGGCTGCGGGGCAAAGGGGGAAGGGGTGGGGTGCCCGCACCGCTCAGCCATCGCCGCAGGGCAGCAGGCAGCTAGCGCCCCTCCATGCACCGCTCCCAGCCGGCCAGCTGTGCCCCAAGGCGGCCCATGCTCTGGCCGGCAACCCGCCGCTGTTTTCCTCGCGCCACGACCGCGCCCAGGCTGTTGCCGCTGACGCGACCAGCGCTGCCTGTCCCCTGCTGCCCCACAGGGCTGCCCTGCCAATGGTGGTGGAGCGCTTCGCAGAGGAGCCCGGGCTGGTGGTGGAGCTTGTGCGGGCCGCACTGCAGGCCGCCACTGCTGCCGCCGCCACCACCGTCGATGCCGCAGATGGCGCTGCCGGCGGCGATCCCACGGCCACCGCCGGCACAGGGGGCGGAGAGGGGCCGGGCGGTGCAGGCGGCGGCAGGGTGGGGGCTGCTGCACAGCCGCATGCGCCGGCGGCGGCTGCGGCGGCTGCGGCAGAGGAGCTGGTGCTTGAGCTGGTGGCGGATGACCGGCTGCTGGAAAGTGTGTGTGAGCCTGCCTCCCAGGGCGCAGGCGGCGGCGGTGGCGGTACCGGCGGCGGTACCCTCCCGCTGCGCCGCCGGCTCATCGCCCTGCTGTGGAACCACGCCGCGCAGCGCCTGGCCAGCGGCGCCGGCGCCGCCGCCGCCCACGCTTTCTTCGCGGCGGTGCTGCCGCTGCTGGAGCGAGGGGGCAGCAGGGGGAGCACGCAGGAGGGTTGCGGCCACAGCGACGGAGAGGAGCCGCAGCCTGCTGCGTGCCACCGCTCGATGGCGCTGTGCTGCCTGGGAGCCGGCCAGCACGGCAGGTGAGAGTTGGGGCAGCTGGGAGGCAGCTGTACTGCCACTGCGCTGACCTGGGAGGTTCGCTGCGGTGAAGTGGGGGAGGCGCTGCAAGAGGCGCCCTGCCTGCCTGGCCCGCTCAAGGAGCAAATGCTTGTTGCAAGTGAGCAGTCAGGGCTTCTGTCGCTGACGGAGCGCTTCCGCCGCAGCCCCTCTTTTGGCCTGCAGGGCCCTGGAGAGTCTGGCTGCGGCAGACCGGCTGGAGCCTGCGGCCGTGCCGACCGCCATGCTGCGCCTGACTGTCCAGCTGGCGGCGGGGAGGCACGACGGCGCGGCGGCGGCGGTGGCCACCCTGGCCGCCTGCCCCGGCAGCGACGCGGATGTCCTGCGCCTGGCCTGCTGCCAGTGCATGGAGGCCGGGGCGCCCCGAGCCGCCCGGCAGGCGCTGGAATGCCTGCTGGAGCTGTGCGCTGGCGATGCCGGCGGCGCCAGCTCAGCGCCGCCAGCTCAGCAGTGCCAGCTGGCGCCCGGCCTGGAGGCCACCGCCTTCCAGAATCTCATCAAGCTGCTGCTGGTGGGCGGCGGCGTGCTCCCACAGCAAGCAGCCCTGGCTGGGCGCTGCCAGCGCACCGGCCTGGCGGGCCAGGGCCTGCAGGGTCAGCTGGCGGGGCCGATTTGCTGTTCGCAGGCCTGTTGAGTTTGAGAGCCGCTGTCTGCACTCCGTGCCCAACCCGGCCTCCCTCCCTCCCTGCCATGCCTCTCCCTGCAGGATGCCCCGGCAGAGGAGCCCCCCCCCGAGCAGGCAGCCGCCGCCGGGGCCTCCCCACAGCACCAGCCGGCAGCCCGCCGCCGCGCCTTCAAGGTGGCCGCCGTGTTTGACCGGCTGTCCGCGCGGGTGCAGGCGGCGGGGGCGGGCGCTTTCTTCGCCCTGGAGCAGCCTGGCGGGCCCGGCAGGGCGCAGCTGGAGTGGCTGGCGCTGGAGGTCGGCTGCTGCTGCTGCTGTGTGTGTGTGTGTGTGTGTGTGTGTGTGTGTGTGTGTGTGCGTGTGCGTGTGTGTGCACGTGTGTGTGTGGGCGGGGTGGGGGTGGGGGGCCCCGAGAGGGTCGGCTTGCATGCATAGCTGCAGCGACAGCTCCTGGCGCTGCGGCTGTGATCATGCACAGAGGCACAGGGCCGCTTGTTGGGTGGGCGTGGTGCACAACACGGCACAGGTTTGCAGCCTGCTCCCAGGTTATGCCAGCGTTGGATGACACGGTGTCAGCCCCAACCGCCGCCTCTGCCGCTGCCGCTGCAGGCCTGGAACGCGGGGCAGCGGGCGGGCAGCGCGGGCGCGCTGCAGCAGGCGGCGGTGCTGCTGGCGGTGTGCGGCGAGCTGCATGCGGCGCTGCCAGCCCCCGGCGCCGTGGGCCTGCACAGGCAGAAGGTGGGCACGGCGCCGTGTGCGAGGCAGCTGGGGCAGCTGCTGCCCCCACCGGAGGGATCCCCGTCACGGCCGACCGCTCAACATGCCTCTGCCTCAGCCCCTGCCTGGTCCTTCCTGCCCACCCCCCTGCTGCCCCCTGCTGCTGCCGCCCGCTGCCGGCTGCTGCCCCGCCCCGCCAGCAGATGGCTTTCCTGATGGCGGCGGCCTGTGCCTGTGAGGTGCACGAGGCCCAGCTGGCGCAGCAGCTGCAGCAGCAGCAGCAGCAGGCGGAGGCAGGTGCCGGCGGCGGCGGCGGCGCGGCGGACTCGGCCCCTGCCCCTGGCGCCGCCAACCCAGGCGCGGCTTCGGCCCCCGCCCACGGCGGCAGCGCCAGCCTCAGCCTGTCCCGCAGCTACCTGACTGCTGCACGCGGGGCAGCGGCGGGGCTGGACACGCAGCAGGCGGTGGCGGGTGTGGAGGCGGCGGCAGGCGCGGGGGAGGGGCAGGCGGGGCCCGGTGGCGACGCCAAGGCAGACGTCTACCTGCTGCTGCTGGTGAGCGGGCCCGCTGTGGGGTGGCAGGGCATCCTTTGGCAGGCCGCCTGTGTGCTTCCCCGCTAGGGCGCTGAAGTAGGATTCCTGGGGTGGAAGGCAGCAAATCGCCTGGTTGCCTGCTCGCCCAGGCGGCAGCTCGACTCCGCCCTGCGCTCACTCTCCCCACCGGACTCCCACCCCAGCATTCCTGCCACGCCGCCATGTGTGCCCCGGCGCAGGACTTCAAGCTCTGCCTGCTGGGGGGTGACGTAGCGGGGCAGCTGCAGGCGCTGGCGCGCGCCCGCGCCCTGCCCGCCTTTGGAGCCCACCACTTTGGCATGGCCGCCGCCCTGGCACGCGGTGGCAGCCGCAGCGGCGGCGGCGGCGGCAGCGGCAGAGGCCTGGGCACGGGCCCAGCTCCGCTGCCGCCGAGCTCCCCGGAGGTCTGCCGGGCCGCAGAGGCCGCTCGCCTGCACCGCCTCACCCAGGACACGCCTCTGGACTATGCTGCAGCGGCGGCGGTGAGCAGCTGCCAGGTCTCGTTAGAGGTGCTGGTGATGGGGTGCCAGTCGGGCTCAGCTGCAGCTGGCAGCCATGGCTGTGGTGGCCACCACACCACCATCACTACCTCGCACTCGAGTGCTCACACACACACACACACTGCAGGCCCTGCGTCGCCTGGTGGAGCTGAGCCCCGGGGATGACGAGAGGCTGGAGCTGCTGGGGGAGGCGGCGGGGCTGCTGTCTGCGGCGCCGCCCGGCGCCTACCCGCCGCAGGTGGGCTGCACCGGCCTGCCCGCTTGTGCGCCTGCTCGCTCCTGGTTGGCTGGTTGCACTGCCATCCAGCAGTACGCACTGCCACTAGCTACCAGTGCCAGCAGCAACAGCTCGGGCACAGCTTGCGGCTCGGCTCTGCGGCTCGCATGCGGCATGCGGGCTATCTGAGAGGGCCCTGCCACTGCCGTTGCCGCTGTGGCTGGCCTCACTCACCCACCCATTCTCCTTTTGCAGGAGCTGCGCTGGCTGGTGACCACGGCTTGGAACCGGGGGGCGGTGCACGCCCGCTTCGGACGGCCGGCAGAGGCGGGGCAGTACCAGCGCTGGGCGGCGTCCGCGCTGAGGCACAGCGCGGAGCTGGCTGGGGAGTACCAGGCAAGGGGCTGCGGGCTGGCTGGCGGTTCTGGGCATGGCGGCGGGGGTGGCCCGCGGCGGCTGGCAGGCCAAAGCGGCTGGGCGGACACCACTTAGCATTTCTGTCTGTGAGCCTCCCGTCTGCCATTTGGCGCGCGTGTGCTGTGTGGCGTGTGTGCAGGAGGTTATGGATCGAGAGCTGGCTGGGGGAGTCGCCACGCCGTGGGCCGCAGTGGGCTCCCACCATGTGGCGGTGACGCCTGGCAATGGCGGTGCCATGCGTGGATCTGACGCCGCGGAGGAGGCTTGAGGCGGGTGGGAGCTGGGCAGCTGGGGCGGCCATACACACGCCGGGGGGTGGCCAGCGCTTGGGTGGATGCGTGCCCACATACACACTGCAATAGAGGGAAGCACCAAATCACCACTACTAATGTATCGATGTGACCGTACATGTACAACGAAAGCACTTTGCACTGAGTTTAGTGCTGCCTGTCTCAACACGATCCCGCCCGCTGGAAACCTGGCAAGTGCCCCCACCGACGCAAGCACACATGCCACCAGTTGCAACAGGATCCCGCCTTCAGGAACTCTGGTGAGTGCCGCCACCAGCCAGGGCAAGCAGACAGGCTGCCTGACGCTGCCCCTGGCAATCCCGCAACCTGCGGAAGCGGCAATCCCGCGGACTGCGGCAATCCCCGAGCATGCCTCCCCGCCTTCTCCGCAGCCTACCGCATTCTGCCGCCGCTGCCTGGGACGATCCCTCAGGCTACGGCAATCCCCCAGCATGCCTCCCCGCCTTCTTCGCAGCCTAAGGCAGTCTGCCTCATGCAGATGGAGGCCGACGGCGGCGACGTCGGCGCTCTGCCACCTGGCGCCACATCCTCCATAATGATCACCCGAATGATGTCCTTATTTCCATCGTTGTAGGTCCAACAGACCGGTGCTGCGTGCCACGCAGCCCCAAGCCCCTGCCACTCCTGGCCGGAAGACGGGCAGTCGGTTCTTGGCCATGGCCTCCCTTGCTGATCGCCAAACTACGACCGACGGTTTCACTCCCGCGCCGCTTGCCGCCTTCCTCACCGACCCAATCACCTCGCGCGACCTCTTCGGCATCTGCCGAGGCCGGTGCCGGAGCCCGCAGTGCGACTGCGGGATCTACCAGAAGCTTACCAGCGATTACACAATCAGCCCGGAGGCGCAGGTGGGGCGACGCAAGCTGCCGCTGCCACTGGCCGCTGCCGCCGCAGCGCATGCCGCCGCGAGGCTCCACGTCCTTCTCCTCCTGTGATGCAGGGCCAGCGTCCACACCCACACAACGACCCATCCATCACTAACTGCTCCCGATGCGGCTGCCCTCCAGAGGCACACGAGGTGGTGCAGCACGAGCAGGTCAGGGCCTTACGGCGGCGGTGGCGTCCGCTCGGCTTCCGCCCTTTCACTGCTGCCCCGCTGCCGCGGCTGGGTCCCATGCCCAGCCTGCGCCTGCTCCCCGGCCGTGTTGTGTTACTCAACCAACCGCCCTGGCCTGCCCCGGAGACCAACTTGCATCCCACCCTGCCCTTCATCTGCCCGGCAGGAGCGGGAGCTGGGCAACGAGGCCTATGCTGCGCGGCAGTGGGACGCCGCGGTGGCCCACTACTCCAAAGCCATCTCGCTGCGCGGAGTGGACGCCTCGCTGTGGAGCAACCGCGCCGCCGCCTATCTCGCCAAGGGATGGTGAGGGCAGCGGCCTGCATGCGCCTGCAGGTGGAGTGGCGCCAGCTCTGCTCCAGCCGCTGCGTCGAGCGCCGAGCGTCCGCCGCCGAACCCTGCCCATCACCAAGCAGCGCCCCAGCCACCCTGCCGCCCGCCGCCAACTCCTCGCCCAACCACGCCCCCGCCTTGGCATGCGCGCCCCTGCAGGGCGCAGCAGGCGCTGCAGGATGCGGAACACGCGTTGTCGCTGCGCCCCGACTGGGCCAAGGCGCACGGCCGCCGCGCGGCGGCGCTGCTGCAGCTGGGGCGGGGCGAGGCGGCGGCGGAAGCCTACCGCGCCGGCCTGAGGCTGGATGGCAACAGCCAGGCGCTGCGGGAGGGGCTGCGGCGCGCGCTGCAGGCGCAGCAGGCGCAGCAGGCGCAGCAGGCGCGGCAGGCGCAGCGCGAGCGGCAGGCCGGGCAGCGCAGCGGGGCGCCGAAGGCGCGCCGCGCGCCCGCGCAGCAGCACCGGCCGCAGGCGGGCGCCAGCAGCGGCGGCCTGCCCGCAGCCAACACGCCGAGGGTGTGCGCACCCGACATGGCACCAGGTAGCTTAGCTGGCATGGATACAAGCATATCAAGCGCTCCTTGGGAGGAACACGTCAGCAGCAGCAGCAGCAGCAGCAGCAGCAGCAGCAGCAGCACGTCCAGGCCTCGTGGCAGTCTCTCTGGCCAGGCTGTGGCAGAGCTGGCGTATGGCGCGCAGCCACACCTGCTGCCTGCCTGGCGCCAGCTGCAGCAGCAGGCTGCCCTGGCGCAGGCAGAGCTGGCAGAGCTGCGGCGCCAGATGCGGCGGTTTGAGGCAGTTCTGCTGGCCGGTGAGCAGGGAGCACCGCCAGGGCCAGGTGGTGTGAATGCAGTACCAGAGGAGCAGGCAGTACCGGGTGCCGAAACCTCCGGAGAGGCACCGGGGGGCAAGGGGAGCCTGGATGCGGTACCAGAGGAGCAGGCGGAAGGGCATGAGCCGCCAGGCCCGCGCCAGGCTGGGAGCACGCTGCCCCCCGAGCCGCCAGCCTCGCCAGGCGCTGCATCTCGGCTGGCACGCGAGGCGCATGATGGCATGCAGCGCAGCGCAGAGGAGGCTGCCCCGCAGCCAGCCCCGGCCCCAGAGGCGGCGGCGGCCAGGGGCGATGCCTCCAGCCTTGCCGCCAGCGACAGCCCTGTTCTCGTCGGCAGGCACACGAGCAGCCAGGGCAGCAGCTTGTGCGGCGCCAGCACGCTGAGCGGCGCCGAGTCGCCGGCGGCTGAAGAAGACTCAAGCAGCGGCATACAGGAGGTCTATTCAGAGGTGCCGCCACCTGCAGCCGCAGCGCCGGCTGGCAGGGCCGTCCCTGCAGCTATGGAGCCTGTGCAGGCTGCAGCTGCCGAGTCCTGTGGGCATGACACCAGCAGAAGCACACAGGGCAGCAGCGCCTGCGGCAGCAGCACCGATTCCAGTAGCGACGGCAGCAGCGCCAGCAGCGCCAGCGCCAGCGGAGGTCCCAGTCCGGAGGGCAGCGGTTGGACGCTGGCGGGCGATCCAAGCAGCAGCGAGGGAACGGAGCGCTGCTCATCGGGCCCAGGCACTCTGGAGGAGGCTGCTGAGAGCGAGGGTGCTGAGAGCAGCGACGAGGAAAGCGCCAGCGATGCCAGCGGGGGCAGCGGCGGCAGCGACGATAAGGCTGCGGGCGCAGACGACTGGCTGGCTGCTGTGGAGGCTGCTCGCCGGCAGCTGGAGGCCGCCGGGGAGCGGGTGCAGGCGCCAGGGAAGAGCGGCAGGCGGCAGCCCAGGGGTGAGCAGCCCGTAGCCGAGCCAGATGGCAGCGTGGGAGGCCGCAGCTCGGCTGGGGCAGGCGGCATGGGCCTGCGCGGCTGCCGAGGCGGCCGCGCTGGCAAAGGATGGTGGCGGCGTGGCACGGGTGGCGTGCAAGCGGTGCGGCACCAACAGCTGCCCCCGCTTCCGCCCAGCGGCAGTAGAGGAGACCGCTGCAGTGATGCTGGCGCAGCTGGCACAGAATGGGAGCGGCAAGGGCGGCACGCCCGGCCTGCTGAGGCCGGGAGGCATGCTGGGCGGAAGCCACTGCGCCGCCTGCGGCTGCCCTAGCAGCGACCATGAAACCAGCAAGGAGGCTGCTGCCCGCGAGGCTCGCCTGCGCCGCCAGCAGCAGCGGCTGCAGCAGCAGCAGCAGCTGCAGGAGGTGCAGCTGGCGGCCAGCAGGCGCGCCGCCGAGCCAGGCTCCAGCGCAGCTGCCGCTGCCGCCGCAGCTGCTGCAGCTGCTGGCCCACCTGAGCTGCCGCCAGTGGCGCTGGATGAGCGGCAGCGGCGGGTGCGGGCAGCCGGGCAGCGCAAGGCGGCGGCGGAGAGTGCAGGCGAGCCGCTGCAGCAGACTGACTGTGACGTGATGACCCAGCAGAAGCGTACCGCCTGCGGTGCATGTACCGCCTGCCCCGGCTTCCGCATCCTGTACAGGTGAGGCGGTGGCTCTCCTGTGCCCGCCCGGCACCGGAGCTTTAGCACGGTACCACTGCTTTGGTGGCATTGTCTGTGGCGTCTGTGGGTCTATCAACCATCTTTATTGGGCTGCTGGTCACCCTTGGGTGAACCCCACCCCAGCCCAGCCAGCATGTGTACTGACCACCACCCTCTTGCTGCCACCGTTCCACCCGCCGTACCGCAGGACCGCCGACGCCAACAACCCAGACATCATGTTTTTCTGCTCCCTGTGCGGCTGCCGCGCCGACCAGCACGCCGTGGACGCGCTATGGCAGGCGCAGGAGGCGGCGAGGCGGGCGGATGAGGCGGCCGCCGCGGAGCGGCGGGCGTCGGCGGCGGGCGCGACGGCGGCTGCGGCCGCGGCGGCGGCGCGGCGGGAGGCAGAGGCATACGCTGAGCTGGGGCTGCCGCTGGGGGCGGATGCCAAGTCAGTGGCCCGAGCCTACAAGCGCCTGGCGCTGCGCCTCCACCCAGACAAGCAGCAGCAGGTGCAGGCGGCGGCCCAGCCAGCGCGGTCCGCTCCCGCTGGAAAACGGCAGGGCTTTGCTGGCGGCGGCAGCATGGAGGAGGCACGGCAGGCGGCAGCCAGGGACCGGTTCCATCGAGTGGCCGCTGCCTACCAGCTGCTCACCGAGCGGCCGGCCGGCGGCCGGTAGCACAAGATGGCAGGCGGTCTCCCCCGCCATGTTTCCTCCAAGTACGAAAGACTATGTTGGATTGTGTCAGACCCTTGTGCCCCGTCCCTGTTGTGTTGCATTTCCTCACACCATTCGCTAGGTGTTACATTGTGATGTATGGTCGAGTGCGGTCGATGGATCACTGGCAGGGGCACGGCAGCGGAGGTCGGGGTCGCTGTCAAGAGCGAGCTCAACTTCAGTGCGAAGAGAGAAAAACCAGGAGCGCTAATGGGGCAGCTGAGGTCCAAGGTCGCTGTGAGGAGCGAGCTCAGCATCGGTACAAATGAAGGAAAACCAGGGAAGCTAAGGGAACAGGGGCAGTGTGCATGGGGGCACGCGCGGTGCATGGCAAACCGCTGGGCGAGTGCGCAGCAACGCGCGCGCTGGCCGCGGGCGGTGCAGGCCTCCGCAGCTGCCGTCGTGGGAAAGTACATGAAATGCAGTGCGAAGATGGGCGGGATGGAAAAGGCTGAGGCAGAGGGATTTGAGATTTGTTCAGGGCGGAAGAATTGACCAGTGATGAATTAGGTCCGCCAGCGTCTTGTGCGTCTGATGCGTCTTCAGAGGGGCGCCTGCGCCTCCTTGGCCTCGCCAGCTTCCGCGGTACCGCGGAAGCTGCCGGACGTCACCACCTCCACCTCGCCATCCGCCGCGCCGGCCTGCTTGCCACGGAAGCAGGGCAGGCAGCGGCGCCTGGGAGGTGGCGCCTGGCTCGAGGACTTGGATGCCGCCGCCAGCGCCGCCCGCTCTGTGGCGGTGAGCTGCTTGTGCGCCGCCACCTTGCGGGCGGGCAGCATCCTGCAGCAGCAGCAGCGAGGGAGGGAGGAGCGGGGGCCGGTCGGCGGGTGCAGCGAGCAACGCACTGCCGGTCCAGCTGGCTATGAGCCATGCGCAGCCAGGGCGTGCCGCCCAAGCACCGGCACCATCTGCACCACACGCACTTGGCCACCGCAAGCAGCACACAGCAGCAGTACACGACCACCACCGCTCCCTCCACCAGCCTCACCGCGACACCAGCTTGGTGAGGAGGGAGAGGGGGAAGGAGCCGAGGCCGATGAGGATGGACACAGCCCACTCCAGCCCAGACAGGCGCTCCACCTTGAAGATGCCGCCCAGGAAGAACATGATGATGAACTAAGATGAGGAGGAGGAAAGGAGGGAGGGAAGGAGGGAGGGAGGACGCAGGGTGAGTCGCGGCGGCAGGCGGCACATCCAGCCGCGCGCAGGCCCGAGGCGCAGGCCGCAAGCAGCAAAGCGATTTCATATCCTGCCTGCCAAATGTGCGAGCAAACAGCCCGGCTCGCCCCCTTGCCCGCCCCCGCGCGTGCCTGGAAGATGACGCAGACGACCCACACGGCCCAGAAGACGTGGGAGGAGAAGATGCCGGCGAAGACGTTGAGCTCGTTGCCAATCTTGCGGGCGTTGATCATGTTGAACATCTGCGCAGGGGTGGGTGGGGAGGAGGGACTGTGAGTGGGGGGTTGATCAGGTCGGTGAGAAAAGGCAGGGGCGCTGGGGTGTGAAGTGGGGCTGGCGCCAGGGGCTGCACAGCGGGAGGCGGGCCGGCGCCACACCCATCCGGCGCCACCTGGCCCCACCACCACACCACACACCCACGCCTGGCACCGCAAACTGAGTCATAGCGCACCAGCCGCAGCCCCCGCAGCCCACCCACACACACCGCCACCCACCAGCCACGCCCGCCTCAGGCCCACCTGGCACCAGATGAATGTGTTGAACACCATTGAGTTGGTCTCCTTCTGCGCATCCTCCTTGTAGTCGTGATAATCGTCGTCCAGCTGCAGGGCAGGGCCAGGAGAGGCTGGGTGAGCGTGAGCGTGTGTGTGTGCGCGCGCGCGTGCGTGCGGGGCGGCATCGGCGAATGGCAGAGGGAGCAGGGCCCGAGCCGGCAGCAAGGTGGCCAAGGCAGTAGCGCCTCCTCGCAACCCTGGGAGAGAGCGAGCGAGAGAGACCCGCCATCCCTCCCAGAAGCATGAACGGTGGGGCCAGCCAAGAGGAGCAGATGCGCAGGGTGCAGTGTCCAGGCGGGCGGCGTGGCGGCGCAGGCCCAAGCCCCCAGGGCCGCACCTGGTTGTAATAGTCGTCCACAGTCGTGTAGCGGTCGCATCCGTCGGACCCAGAGCCGCAGATGGAGTCGGTGGTTGGCTCCTCAATCGAGCACCCGCCGCTGTCGGTCAGCTGGCACATGGGCGTCTCGCCTGCGGCAGGCGTGGGTGTGGGTGGTTGTGGGGCAAGGGGAGTGCGAGTGGTGGTGGCCGCGAGCGTGGGCGGGGTGGGGCAGGCGGCAGGGTCAACAGCAACAGCAGCGCAGGCGCCACTCGCCCTGGGACGCCCCTCCTCCCCGCGTCCACCAGCACCACCAGCACTCCACCATCCTGCAGGCTTCCTCAGCCACCCCCGCCCAGCAGCCCTCGCCCACCTGACTGGTAGTACTGGCTGCACTCGGCGCTGCCTGGAACGCAGCAGAAGCCGGGGGAGGAGTTGCGCTGCATCCACTCGCACTCGGACTGCACGTAAAAGGAACTGAGCTGGGCGGGCATGCCGTAGAAGATGAGGAAGAGCCAGAAGATCTGCGGATCGGGGACAGGACAGGGGTAGCTCAGCGTGAGGGGCGGTTGGTGATGGCCAGCTGGGCGAGGGCTGGGCGTGCGGCCCTTCGGCCAGGCAGAGAGCGGGAGCCGTGCACCTCCTGCACCAGCCCTGTGGGCTGGCAACCGCCCCTCCACCACCACCTCTCTCTACTTCTCGTTCGCTTTCCCCACCACAGATACACACGCACAGATACACACACGCACAGGTACACACGCACAGCCTTGCACCTGGTACACGCCCTGGCTGAAGATGAATCGCCACATGTAGCGGCTGATCAGTGGCTCATCCCGCCCGTGCGGCTTCTCATTGAGCAGGTCGGGGGTGGGCGCCTCGGTGGCCAGGGCTGCAAGCAGCAGGGGGCGTGGTGGGAGGATTTTTTTTTATGAGTGGGCAAGGGCGAGTTCTGTGTGTGCTGTGTGTGTGTGTGTGCTGGAGTGGCCGGTTGAGGCAGGTGCAGCCGCCGCCGAGAGGGCCGCCATGACCCGAGCACCACACCCATCCAGCCTGGACGCCTGGATTGCTGCCTGACCCGGCCCAGCCCAGCCCAGCCCAGCTCACCCAGCGCGGCCAGCGAGTCCATGATCAGGTTCACCCACAGCAGCTGCAGCACGTTGAGCGGCGTCTCGCCGTTTGAGATGGCGGCCACAAAGGCCACGATGAGCGCCACCAGGTTGATGGTGAGCTGCGGGGAGGGCGGGGCGGAGGCGGGGCAGGTGGTGGGGTGGACGGGTGGCAGCAGGGGAGGCGTGGGCGGGCGGGTGTGGGGAGGCAGCGGCCGGTACTACCAGGCTGATGACGAGCGGCGACGCTGCGTGCCGTGGCGCAGCCTGCTCGCATCCACCACCACACCCCCAGCGCCATCACCACCGCACCCGCAACAACGCAACCCCCCCAACACACCCGCAACAGCACAACGCCACCACCACCACACCCCTACCAACCGCAAACCCCCACCTGGAACTGCAGGAACTTGCGGATGTTGGTGAACACGGAGCGCCCCCACAGCACGGCCTTGACGATGGAGGAGAAGTTGTCGTCCATGATCACAATGTCGGCGGCCTCCTTGGCCACCTCCGTGCCTGGACGGACAGGGAGGAGGAGGGCAAAGAGAATGGGTGTTGGTGGTGGGTGGATGATCGCGGAGTCGGCAGCCTGCCTGGCCACTTTGAAAAAACGGCAAGAGCAAAAATCGGCAAGAGCAGTGAGAGATGCGAAAGGGACGTCGAGTGCATGGAGCACACGCTCAGCCGCGAGTGTGCCCAGCCCGATGCTCTGCAGAAGGGTCACGCCTGGCAGACGCTCCCAGCATATCAAAGGACAGCTGGCGCGCCTAACCCGCAATGCCCATGGCCAGGCCCACATCCGACTCCTTGAGTGCGGGTGCGTCGTTGGTGCCGTCGCCAGTCACCGCCACCACCTGCGGGACAGTGGTACAGCGAGGGGCGAGGGGGCACATGCAGGGGCGGTTCAGGGGCTAGCGGCCGATGCAGAGGCAGGTGCCAGCACGGAACGAGGAACTTGCTCAACACAATCACGAATACAAATACAAATGGGGGTGTCGTGGTCAACCCGTGCCCGCCTGCTCGCCCCCCGCATGCAATTCAACGGCATTGCAGGTAGGCGGCCCATTCAACACAGAGCTACACGCATGCATACATCGCTCGGCAGTGTACCAACGCACCTCGCCGCACTTCTTCAGCGTCTGCACCAAGATGTACTTGTCCTTCGGGCTGGAGCGGGCCAGCACCTGCGTATGTAGGAAGGGCATCAATGCTGACTTGAGTGGTGGCAGTTCGTGCTCGACTTGAGTGGTGGCACGGCACCAGGGAGGGAGGCCACCTGCTCGGCCTCGCACATGCGAGACAGGCAGCGTGTGCTCCTGAAGCATGGCCATGAATGAGTGCACAGCGCTGTGCAGCCACAGCTGGCCGGGCCACCAGCCCAGCGTGGTCGCTCACCTGCAGGCGCGGCAGCAGCTGCAGCAGCTCGTCCTCAGGCATGGCCCGGAACACGGGGCCTTCCATCGCCAGGCCGTCCTCTGCAGCAGAGGGATGGAAAGAGCGGGTGGGGCAGTGGTGGGACTGCGGCTGTATTATGCAAACACACAGTGAGGCTGGCGAGGCAAGTGCGGTATCGGGTTTGTTGAGGTTTGAGGTGAAGATTTGAGCGCAAAGGCTGTCAACATCAGCTGCCAGCCAAACAGCGAGGCGGCAAACGCCTTGTGTGAGCACAACTCCCCGCCCTGCTGGCCTCAACAATGCTCAGCAAAGACCCCAGCACGGCCCCAGGCCACCACGCACCGGTGAGGATGCCGCACTCGCGGGCAATGTGCTTGGCGGTGTGGATGTTGTCGCCTGTGACCATGCGCACGGTAATGCCCGCGCGCTGGCAGGTGGCCACCGCGTCTGGCACCTCCTTACGCACAGGGTCCTGCGCCAGATATCGAGGGAAGAGCAGTACAGGTGAGAGCAGTACAGGTGAGAGCAGTACAGGTGAGGAACCGCAGAAATGCGGCACAGCGTCAGCGCCAGTCTCATTGCTTGAAATCGCAGGGGTGGGAAAGGGGACAGCGAGCGGCGCCGGCGCGAGGCGCGGGCACGCTGCCATGCAGGCACGGGCGTGGCATTGCAGGCCGCGGCAGCCGGCCCTCCCAGCGAGGCTGAGCGGGGCTGGCCTGGCCCCACCTTGATTCCCACGATGCACAGCGCGGTCAGGTTCTCCTCGTGGGGCTGCTCAAAGTAGTCGGCGGGGCGTGAGGGGTCTTCCTTGGCATAGTCTGCGGCAGGCGGGAGGCGGGCGGCAGGAGGTTGGGATCGACGGTGTTGGATGCGTGTGTGGTGGTGGCAGCAGTGGCGGTGGCGGTGTGGCGGCGGTGGCAGCAGCGGTGGTCGCGGTGGTGGTGGTGGTGGTGGTGGTGTGCAGTGGGGACGGGCAGGGCGCGCGGATGGCTCAGACCAAAACTGCGCCCTGGCGAGCCGCTGCCGACCCCCAGCACCCCAGCCTCCAGCACCCCGCGGCGACCACGTCAGCGCACCGGTGTATGCCAGGCAGAGGGTGCGCAGGCCTGTGGAGGCCATCTCTGTGACGATGCGGTACAGCTCCTCGCGCATCTCCTGCAGACGGGAAAAGGCAGGGCAGGGCAGGGCAGGCAGTCAGGCAAGTCGGCATGCGGCAGCGATGAGGAGGTCAGGCAGGGCAGGGCAGGCAGGTAAGGCGGAGCGATGGGCAGCGCAGGCAGGGAGGTGGGGTGCCAGGGAAGGCAGGCAGGTAGAGAGGGGGGGCTGGGCGTGCAGGCACACTCTCAACTGCCCCCCGCCCAGGATCCACCATGCCCCCCCCCACACCCCTGCTGGCAAAGGTTGCTGCCAT